CCTTTATTCAATATTTATTAAGCCCTACTATATGCTAGGCACATATTGGGCAGATGTTACTCCTATGCTAGATGCTAGTAATAGCGAATAAAACATGATCATTATCCTTATGATGAAGTCCAAAGTCCTTCACATGGCTTAGTAGGCTTTATAATTGCCAAATAAAAGGGATTTTTTTTCATCTTTTTCCTCTCTGTCAATACCACATTTACATTGTTGACCAATCTGACATTTGACAGTGCCAGGAACCGGGCCAGGCACTGGGACTGTTTAAAATCAATAAGATTCCCTTTCTTGGTAAGCTACTAATATGTTAATGTCAAGAAGCTATTTATTTAAAGCGTAAAGAGATGCATTTCATCTATAGCAGATAATCATATAGGGGCACTGTTGAGATGAAAGGTCTCGAGTTTAAAATGTATAGCGCAAGGTTGATGCATCCCAGATGTTCAATGAACATTAAATTCTCTCACATTGTCATTTCTAAAGTATCTTGGGTGGTAGTTCACAGTTAAATTCAATTGGACAACATTTGACTCTCCTAGAAGGTGGGAGATAGACACAAAAAGCAAATTGCATCTATTTTACTGTTTAAGGGCATTAAAGTTCTAATTTTTGTATGGACAAATTTTCATGGCCCAGCTTTTTCCTTTCTCATGCATAAGACGTTAATTTTTATTGTTTCCTGTTACTCGCTTGAGTTTTATTTTTTAAATAAATTCTGCAGAATGCAATGTTCCCCTTTATGTGGATGATACTGAGGAAAGCCTGCAAGTTATTTCTGCCGTGGTCTAAACTACATCCAGATGGGTGGTTGGAAGTGTTCCTCTGGGGCGTGAGAGGAACATATGAGAAGCATATGCATACATCAAGTTCTAAACCATGGGGTTTGGATTGTGGACACTGTGGTGAAACTGAGTGGGGAGAAAAATTGAAGAAATTATGGTTGCTCTGCAACAGAAAAGACGAGGGTGAAATAAAAACCAAAAAGGAGTTTTTTGTAAAGGGATTAACAAAAAATATATTTTATGCTTCAGAGTGCTTTTAGAAAGAAAGTGATTGATCTTGGTTCAAGAATCAAAATGAGATAATGAGAAACAGTGATTGTACTATTTTTGTTTCACATCAGTTTTACTCACAGATCTTAGCCAAAGTGTTTGGAAAGAAGGGAGATTTGCTTTTAAAATGTACTGACCTAAGCTTAATTTGATCCTTGTAAGTATTATCTTACCATCACTTCTAATAAAAATGTGTGGTACTAAAACAGAAAACCTGCACTTAGTAATCTTCTGGACCTATGGGCCAAACTTTAATATGCACCCTGACCTTGCTGAAACCCACAGTCCGATGCACTTGGTTGATGGACTCAGATTCTTCATTTCACACAGGCTCTCGGGTGAGGCTGAGGCTGCTGGAGCAGGTACCGCACTTTGAGTAGAAAGGTTTCATGTGAATCACCTGCTGAAGAAAATGATCTCCCTTTATCCTTTTTTTTCTGAGAAGCAAAAGAACATAGTTTTAGCATATTTTACAGTGTTGATATTATTATGGAATATAAAGCCAAGCACCAAACTTGGCCACCATCCTAAAGATGGATTCAGAATAGCTCCTTGCCCAAAACGACTGTAGGCCTAATTTTGTATTGTAAAAAATCAAGTTGTCAAGGAAGACAGGGGTCATGACTAAAGTAAAGTTTGCCTAGCCTCATATGGGTATTTCTGGTTTCTTTTGCTCCTCAGCTATCAGTCGTAGCTGGCTGTTAGAACTGTGTCTGAAACAGGCCCAGAAGATTTATCCTGTAGTAACCCACCTTGATGGAATTGTGAGAGCCACAGACTCCCTGTTCCTCTGGCTAGAGACCTACGGGTGCTGGTATCTGGCTTGAGAAACTGGTGGTAGAACGGAGCTCACCAGTCAGTCTGCCTTAGTGCTCTGGGTGGCAGTGAATGCTCAGAGGTGTCCCGGATACACTGATCCATCCCATGGCGGGGCTTGCGGTGACAGGAGCCTCCAGGCCATTGTCTCTGCCTTACGAGCATCCGAATCCAGGAGCTGCGACAGAGCCCCAGGAGAGCACTGTGCTTACGACCCTGTGAAATCTTGCAGTGTTGGGTAGTGACTGAAAGACACACATAGTAGAGAAGTACTTTGCTATTACCACATGGTTTATACAGAAAGATGTTTTATGTTTCCAAATTATAGGATATTATTGTTATGTCTTTGTTGATGTGTTCTAATTTTATTCTGTAGTGGTCAGAGAACATGGTTTTTAATAGTTTTAATATCTTCTGAGACTTAATTTGTGGTCAATTATATTGGTACATTTTTATACATGTTAATGGGCATATGAAAAGAATAATCATAGAGAATCTGTGAATTCTATTGTTAGATGTTATAGAAATCTTATTATTGTTTTGTTGCTGCTTTTATTGTAATTTACCATCTTGTGGAAATCACCAATTTACTCCTTAATATGTTTGAACAATAATTCTATAGTTGACTCTCTGAAACTGCTTCTTTAAAAGTTACTAATTTATTTTGAGGAATCAATCTATGGCCTGTTCATAATCCTGGATCTTTGCATCATTTGACATTCTTCATAACTCTTCATCGAATTTCCTCTTGGCTTCTGTGATAGATGTTGGATATGGTTTATCCTACTTTTCAGACCACTCCTGTGTTTTCTCCTCCTTTCACTATACTCAAAATATGGGTACTTTCTAAGTTGCTGCTCTCATCCCTCATCTCTCTCTACTTATTATTCCCAACCTTTCATTTCTATACCCCCAATCTGGCCATACTTTCAACTACTACCATAAACATATAGGTAATTTCCAAGTACAGCCCCAAAGTCTCTTCTGAAGTCCAAACATGCATATTGGATCCCATAGATAGCTCCACTTGAGTGCTATGCCATTCTATTAAATTCAATATAGCAAAGATAAAAAATATATTTTCCTGCTGCTCACAGTCATTATTATTATTATATTACTGCAAGATAATATTCTCAAGCAGAACTCTGATTATCTAGTTTTATCACTCAGAATGCAATATTTTTTAATGTTGTAAAATATACATAATATAAAGATCAGCATTTTGCCCATTTCTATGTGCATATTTCAATGGCATTACATGTGCCCACAATTTTCTGTAACCATCTACTATCCATTTCTAGTACCTTTTTTTTGTAAGAGAACATTTATAGGGTAAATTAGAGAGGTACATAAAGTAATTCCTTGGGCTTAGGAAATAAGTTATGGAGATAAAGGCAGGGCCCTTGGAGCTTGGGAGTGAGGAAGCTGATGGTAAGGTGACTGGGGTGGGAGGGAGGGGAAAGGGGAAGGGGAAGGGAAAGGCAGAGGTCTGCTCCCAAGAGGGAGAGGCACTGGGTCCTCCACCCTAAGGTTTTAAGGGGGAGATTTTAGAGGAGGTCCCAGGAGAAGATCTCAATAGAATACTGAGTAGCTTTCCAGTGTGTCCTTTCAAGGTTGTGGTCTCCACTGATGGATTGGCTGGCACCAGGGCAGGGGGTCATTATTCAGTGCAGCTGGTCCCGCGGTCAGGTGGCTGGTTTTGCTGCTTCTCTGGGCCTGGAGCTGAAGCACAACTGAGCCTAGATGGTATCTCTAGGGAGGAAAGGTCTGGGGGGTCCAAACTGCAGGACCAGAGCTATGCTAGGAGAGGAAAGGTCACCCTGGGGGCAAGACCCCACCTTACAATTGATTGTCCATGGCCAGGCACCCGGTCCTTGTTCTTCTCATGTCTGTCTAACTGCCCACAACAAGTATGTCAAACTCAAAGGCTAACACAGGCCAAATAAACAAGGTTTACGTTTATGTGGGCCACCAAAAAACAAAAGCTTCAATTTTCATAGAAGCGTAGGTTTATTTTGATGGAGACATGCTGAATACAAAGGGCTGAAATAAATGAGTAATCATTAACATAAAATAATAGAACATTTTAATAAAAATTAATATTTTTCTTCAACATTAACTTATCAGACACTGAATAACTGCACAAATTAATAAGCGTAACACAAGTAAACCTATTTTTCTTGTTCTCCAAAAGTAAAATATTTTCTGTTGTGCACACCAAACATGTTAGTCCAAGACTAATGACATGGCCACCGGCTGCTAAAACATCCGCTGCTAGTATTAGTGGAGAGAAATGGTGTGCCTGTGTGTAAGGCACGTAAGGGGAATGAATGCAACACGATTATAGTAATCGGTCATTAGCAAACATTGTAGTTTGTTATTAATGATTATGTATAACAGGATTTTGTAAAATTCAGTTACGAATTTTTATTAAAACGTTTCTTACACTTACATTGCGTTATATTGGCTGGGCTACAAAAATATTCGTTGTTGGCCACTAGTGGCCCGTGGGACGCTAGTTTAACATGCTTGGCCTACAATATTCCGCCTCAAGGATCTTGGCTCTGAAATCTTTCTGAGAAAAGGGGTGCAGGGCCTCTTCTGCAGTTGCTTCCGGCTGAGAGAGGGTGATATTTTTCTTCAGAGCCAAGGGATCCTTGCTCTACTTTTTCATCATACTAAACAGAAACTCTGGGACCATCAAATAGTAACTCCCCATTTCCTCTGCTCTAAGCCCCTCATGTAAGTAGAATCATCCAATATGTGTCCTTTTGTGTCTAGCTTATTTCATTTACATAACGTTTTCAAGGCTCATATATCTATGCTGTAGCATATATCAGCATTTCACTCTATTTTAAGGCTGAATAATATTCTAGAGTGTATGTGTATACATAAAATGTGGTATTATATACATATATACATACATATATAGTTGTATATGTGTTTATACATTGTTTTGTTTATTTATCAAAGAAGTTATATATATATATATATAATTGCCTATATAGTTTTGTTTATCTATATTATATGTATGTATGTAGAGTTTTACTTGCTTATATATTATATATATATACACTACAGGCACAGTGCACGAATTCATGCACCAGTGGGGTCCCTCAGCCTGGCCTGCAGGAATCGGGCCGAAACTGGTTCCCCAACCTCCGAGGAGTCCCAGATTGCGAGAGGGCTCAGGCAAGGCTGAGGGACCCCCACCGGTGCATGACTGGTTCCAGGGATGGACGCAGGAAATTGGCTAGCCAGGGAGGGACTGCAGGAGGGATCGAGGGCATGTCTGGCCTATCTCATTCAGTCCTGATCAGCCGGACCCCAGCAGCAGGCTAGCCTACCAGTTGGAGCGTCTTCCCACTGGTGGTCAGTGCACATCATAGTGACTGGTCGACCAGTCAACTGTCTGCCCTTTGGTGATTCAGTGCACGTCATAGCGAGTGGTTGAGTGGCCTTAGCATATCATTAGCATATTATACTTTGATTGGTTGAACAGATGACTGGATGACCAGACACTTGGCATATTAGGCTTTTATTATATAGGATTTACGTATCTTTATATACTTTTAAATATATCCTTTGAGTATACAACTAGAATTTGAATTACTAGACCTTATGATTATTCTATGTTTAAGTTTTTGAGGAACCACCTAATTGACTTCCACAGTGGCAACACCATTTTATATTTTCATCAGCAATGCAGAAGAGTTCCAATTTCTGCATATCTTCATCAATACTTGTTAATGTCCATTTTTTCAATAAAAGCCATCCTAATGGATATAAAGTACTATCTCACTGTGGTTTTGATTTCCATTTCCATAATAACTAAGGATGATGAGTATTTTTTTCATGTTTTATTGGCCAGTCACATATCTTCTTTGGAGAAATGTTTATTCAGTCCCTAGCCATTTTAAAATAAAGTTATTTGTCTTTTTATTTTGTAAAATATTTTTTAAAAATATGTTCTTATTGATATTAGAGAGAGGACAGGAGAAGGACAAAGGGATAGAAATATCAAGGATGAAAATCATTGATTGGTTGCCTCCCACACACTCCCTACTAGGGACTGAGCCCACAACCCGGACATGTGGCCTGACCAGGAATTCAATCAGGACCTCCTGATTCATGGGTTGACACTCAATCACTGAGCCACACTGGCCAGGCTGTCTTGCTACTTTTGAGTTGCAAGAGTTCCTATTATACTCATGATATTAGCATGGTCATCTGTTTTTATTTCTTTTTGATAAAAATCGAGGAGTAAACTTTGAGTATACAACTAGAATTGTAGGAGTAAACTTTCTGGAAATTAGTTTTATAAGAAACTGCCAAGTAATTATTCGAGTAGCTACATTGTTTTACATGCCCATCAGCAATGTATAGTGTGTGAGCCAATTTCTTTACATGTCACCAGCATTTACTGTTTTTCATTATTTTTAGTCTTTTATTCTAGTCATTCTAATAGGTGTGTAATGCTATCTCATTGTGGTTTTAATTTGTATTTCTCTAGTGGCTAATGATATTGAATAACTTTTCATGTA